ATTGTATTGATCCAGCGCTGAGTCCCTTCCCTGTCCACCTTTATTCTTTTCTTCACAATAAGGCTTTCAAATAAATCACGGCTGTACGGCAGGGAAGCATCGGTGTGACTGTACGGCAGCGGAGCATCATTGTTGAACACTGATGTCATGCTGTCGATGCTGAAGACGATGATGACCGGCCGCCAGGTTCGAACCCTATTACTGCATCTCGACTGCTTGGACAACCTGACATCATTCCGGCCCTCAGCTTCCTCCGGTTAGCACAGCAGCTACGCACCAAAGTGGTGTTACGGGAGAACGCATACTATACTTATGGTAATCTACATTTAGGTAGACGGTGCGGTTGACTCTACCAACTTAATTATCGATCGTTCACATTATCAAAGTTTCTCCTTCTAGAGTCCGCTAAAGATTCTACTGCGCATTAATCCGTTGGGTCAGCACTGACGTTCACAACTTCTGAACCCGCAGTGTCCCTTCTGCTAGACCGCATTTTGAACCCGAAAAGTGGAAGTCAGCATATCGATACCAAGAGATGTTCGTCTGTTCATATTGTGAACAAGGTAGCTCTCTGATTGGCTAAAAGCCTTTTTAATGGCACTGTGTTAGTAACTAATATAGTGGCCATTCGATAAACAGAACACTCCGGTGAACCAACCGAAAGCGGTCTCGTTCGAGAGTTGGCCTTCTTCTGGAATTGTTCCTGGAGAATGACGAATGTGTTGACGATGATCACTACTCAAATAGTGTGTCACGATGTAGCGGCCGTCTGTTAGTCCCGCATGAGGTCGGGATAGCTCAGTGGATAGGGTGCGAACGTACTGACCGAAAAGCTGTTTGAAAAGCTATCTACTTTCTCCGAAAATGAATGTCTCTCTGATTACACGGTCTCCCTCCTATAGTTTGGATGGAGATTGTACTGCGTCGGAGTGGCCCGAACTTATCAATGACATCTGGCCTGTAAGCGCTGATAGATCCACACCAACACGTTCTTACAAGAAGATGAACGCTTTCTCTCATGTTCGGATGTGGGGTTCACTTCTGGCTTTTCACGTACACGATGACCTCACTTGTACCCATAATTTTCCACCGAAATCCCAAAGTTCACGCAAGATTCACCTGAAAATTGGGGAAACACCTGAGCACACTTTTTGGGTCCTCTTTGTACCTCTGTTGAACGTTTTCTGAGTTTTGGGGGCGTTATCGTCCCTAGAAACAAAAACGAAATTAGGCGTGAACCCCTGGAGCTGGAATATTTATCCTGGTGTGACATTGCGTCCCAACCGGTCACCGATGTTCCGTCCCACCGAGTGAATAGTTAGATGACAAAGTTGCGATTGCCATGGCTTTGTTTCAGTATCATATGTAATCGACTTTTGTGAACGTTGGTCACGGGCTGAACGTTGATCACGTTTCAAATTTAAAACATTTTGTCTTTGACCAGTGTCACCGAGTAGTTGAACTAAGACTTAGTTCCATGATTGAGCCTGGATTAAATTGAGAAGTGGCGTATATGTATACGTTCTGACAAACCAGAACTGAAATTAAGGGTTGTGGTAGTCCGATACACTCACATGAGTGGCTCGAATCTCCACACAGATTCATGAGGTGTGTGCTGTTGATTCACCCCAAAAAGAGCAAAACAGCTTCACGGAGTTTCTTCGCTATCCGGCATCACTTACAAGATGGAATCTCTGTTAGGAGTAAGTATCAATAAGCAGTGTCAAACGTCCCAAAAAATGCTTGCGTCTTCCGTGTGAGTAGTCATCATTCGAATGGCCAATCAGCGTGAGATCACGTGATGACTGTGTGATATGACTGCGGGCTGGGTAAGCGTTATCAAACTGACTGTCAGCCGCTCGTAGTCGAATATGAGTATCTTTTGCTTTTAGTTCCAAATCACCGTCACAAACACCTGATGAGCCCCAAGAAGGGCGACATCGGTCTTGGTTCAGCGAAGAGTTTTCAGCAACCTTGTGAATAGTTTCCTTTGTGACGATAAGTTGTTTGTTGACCCTAGGTTAGATAACTATTTTGGATCCAAGATTTCAACTAGGGCAGCGTCATGTGGAATGTTACAAATTTAAACGGCGCGCTGTATTTGCCATTGTTAATGGTAATGTCTTGACCAACTGCTAACTGAAGGCTGAGAGGTCTCTGTGGTCATAGCAGATCACCTTTCTGCAAGAACCGCGAAGCGTAGGAACAGCCGGCGTCGTTGACGGTTGTCACTCTAATTGCACCGGAACATTAGCCTTTTTACCTTGCTGTGGGTTTTTTGGTCAGTCCATACCAAAGAAGGAGAGTTTGTTTTTCATAAAAACCGACCAGTAAATCTCCTGACTATGGTAATCGAGTGATCCACCTCTCAGGACTTGCCGTTCAGGTGGCACCCCAGATGATTGTGACCGACAGTGATGTTCGTTTCCTCAGCGCTTCCGTTTGGAAATCTTGATGCAGCTATTCCAACTCACATTCTTGTTCACCATTCGAGGCGTCCAACTCACCAAACACATCACCTAAAAGTGTCCACCTCCTGTTCAAAGGTCGGCAAATTTGCTTCCAGAGTGCTCTGACCGAGTAATCGAAAAATCGACTTGATGAGTCACATGACCGAGGCTAAAACACATGATAGTCGAGATGATGCAGTTCTACTGTGCCCTGACATCAACAGAACTCAATCTCAGCAATTTTCCGGTTGTCGTGGATCAAATGAGGACGACGAGTTCCGCAAATCCCGGCTTTTGCATTCCATTCTCGTCTTTACCAGTCCCGTTGTGTCTGTAGACGCTATGCACTGTAGTGGGAATATCCGACCAGGCAGATGACGATCAAATGTAGATCTAAAGGCAAATGCCTTGAAGCTCGACAGTGTGCACTGGTCTAACACACCGGCACTGTATTCATGTGGTCCGCAGAAGTTGAGGTTCTCTGATTCGTTCTGACCAAGCTGTTGAAGTCGTGATACTGTCCACTATGTTGGACTGCTTTTCCCTGGTGTCCTCGACAAAATGAACTTCCATCTCTTTACTGATGATTCGGTGGGCTTCAGGTTCAGTTAAACAAAAGTGATTGTCAGCCCATTCCCCCCCGGCAGCAGATTTCTAGACTGTCCAGACCCACCTTCGAATGGCAACTGTCTGAAGTCTCGCTCCTAAAAATGTGTGATGCGATGCCTCCAGAAGAGGGTTAAAAACTTGACGGAGGGAAACTAAACTGAAAGTACCAAACTCAGAGAGAGGCATTGAAAGAAGGTGAATGCCACTCATTTTGAGCATCACAGTTACCATCGATAATCTATTTTTCTAGTGCATTCGATGCAGCAGTTTTACTTTGAGGTATGTTAGGCATCGGGAATGGGTACGATCAACGACTGTACGCGACCTGAGAACGAGCGCGAAAATCCCAGCTATGACGCGAGCCCAACCACTCCTAGCGCAGGGGGAGAGAAGAAGGCAAGACTCACAGTGAAGGGCTTTTACTCATTTGCAAATTAATTTGGTTTTCACGAAAGACTCAACCGAATCTCTCGTTTGTGATGTTCTACAACTGAATGTGGTGCACGCAGGCCGCCTCATGATTCAGTTGGTACGATATTCGAGAGATCGCAGTATATTTTCATGAAAGAAACTACTCACAAGGTTGCTGAAAACTCTACGACAGCCCACGACCGGTTTCGCTTTTCTTGGGGCTCATCAGGCAGGCACAGTCCTCGAGTTTCCGTCAACCTTATGTTCTACTTGAACCCGAATTGGACTGTTTTCGAGAAGTACACTCATTTGCAATCCGTTAGCGCACACAAAGTCCAATAGGAAAGAGGCACAGTCTTTTTGGATTGAGCCGCAACATGGCGGAAAGAGCGCGAATTTTAAAAATCCAAAATTTTAGAAAATAAAATTGTCAATAACTTGGAAAATAAACGGTTTTGGGGGATACCAATATCCCCAACAGATGACATTATCTAAATTTTTTATGAAGTCTCTTTGATAGTAATGAATGGTGCCTACCTCTTCCACGTTCTGTAAATTTTCTTTAGGTACGATAAACCTGTCGCACCATTCACACAAGATGGACAGTTCCACAATCCGGAGGTCCCATTCAACGGTAAGAAGCATCAGTCGTACACCGTCGTCAATCGCCCTCTGGAGGTTGAAAGACCACTGAGTGATGTAAGTTTCATTTGTTTTTTTAAGGTTACTGATTTTCTTTGCATGTCGTTCTTTCTGGACCATGTCCCAAAGGAAGTCTAAGATGGTTCTACGTTTTGTGACCTACGTACGTAACTGTATTCAGCAGGATAGACAAAACATGAGATGCGGTGCGACAAACTTCCTTAATCCAAAGAAGCTTTCCGTTCTCGGAGAGAGTTGAGTTTCCTACTGTTAAGCTGGCTATGATGTCAGCCTTGTTCTTTGCAAAAAAATATCGATTAATAGACCATGACGTGCCCCGTTACCCCGGGCGCTGACCGACCCGCAGGCACCATAGATTATCGTTATCAGCTCACCACCGCTCAGAAGAAACAGACCTATGCCGTTTGCATGTTAAAACCGCTCCATACCATTGTTGTAAGGCCCTTGGGCAACAGCACGTGACTTTTGATGGAGTTACCGGGTTCTCTACTAACTATCACTTGGCAGAATCGTCGTACGTTCACGACTTGAGGTGCGAATAGGGTACAAAACGAAACAATCATTTATCACGTGACGCTTTGGGGGCGAGATGGCTCAAGTGCGTCCGTGGTTCGAACCCGACCTCCGCCTCTCGACTTCCTTCCTCTGGGCTTGGGCAACCTGGCAGTATCCCAGCCCTCGTGCTTCCTTCGGATGGCACGGCAGCTAGGTAGCAGCTAGGCTGAACGATTGTTTCATATACGTGAGGCATTAGAAATAATCTTTGCGAGACTGTTGGTTCTCGTAGTGAGCTGTAGGGGCGGGGGGTGGGGAGTGGGGACTTCTAGACCATAGCTCACAATTCACACAAATTTCCGAAATCTTGAACATTTCATATCCATACGTAAACAATGGTTTCCGAAACGGCAAACACTTTTTTGTTCTGTGCAGCGCGTAGAATTGGCAATTGGTGTTGTTTGTACCTTCATTTGACAGATGGTCATCCAAAGGAATTTCAGGCATCTTCATGCCGCTTTCAGTTGCTTTTTTCTAGCTTAACAGTTGCTCAAGACACTTCGTGTAATTTCTTCGGACATCAGTTTTGACGGAATACTTTCGCGCCTGTTCCTCTCCTGAGTTTTTAATGACAGCGGCGGTGTCGTTTACTGTAGATCGAACAGACCACACTGGTTTGATAAACCAGATCCGGTGGATGTCGTTTTGTGACCGCAAATTTGCTGGTACGTTTTGGTGAAAGCACAGGCCTCCTCAGATCATTCGGGTGTATTTCTCCCGAAAAACGATAGTTATGGCGAAGCTGAAACATCTAGTCTAAACTAAAACAAATAATTAGAAAACTCACCGGTCAGCTGTAGTTTGGGGAAGAACGTCTGAGGTCACCCAATTGGAACAAGCTCCCAAGCCCTGAAAAATAAGAAAGATACTACTTAATTGGGAAAAATATCGTACACGTTGCGGGAAAAGAGACTTTTATCTACAGTGTGCGAATGGGTTGCGTTGCTTTAAAAAAAGGGTAAAGCGGGATGTACCAATCTGGCCACTTGTGAGTCCGGAGGCCAGTCGCCCTTAAGAACCGAGCGCCACGTCAATTCGACAGACTTGCCACGTGGGGCTACGGAAGGCATGCCCTGGGTTGGTCAGAATATCGGGTACTCAGGGTCGAGCACTATAGCCCGGCGCTTCTCGACCCCTCACGAAAATTCTAGCGTTACCTTGTGGAAAATTTTTGCGGTGACCTTATATATATATATATAATATGAATAAAATATGTGTAAAGAAATAAATATAAATGTTACTATAAATATAAGAATATAAAATAAAATAAAAATAAATAAGTAAAGTAAATGTAAACAAGATATAAATATAAATACCAATATGATTGTAATAATTTTGCTATTCTACCATACGTTTTGATATACCATAGTCATCGGAGCAGAAAGCCAAGGGCCGATATGAAAGTTGCACAACCATTTGCTTGAAACAACATTATGGGAAACGTGTTGGCCTAGGAGTCAATTTCAACACTGTCATGCTATGGTCCCATCACCTGTTCTCCTGGTAACCAGGCTGCGATTTTGATTCTGCCGTTTTGTTCTCAACTTCGCGAATTCTTTGTGAGGATGAATAAAGCTCACTTTAGAGGTTTGAATGATAAGGAGTGGAGCCGGAAAAAAGATAGATTTTGAGGAGCTGGGGTAGGCATATCACATGAGACAAGGCATACGAAAATAAGCTAGCGATGATCACTCATCGACCTGGTCACGTGTTACTGTAGGTTACTACTATTTTAATCGCCCCGCATGTCACTACATGCCCCCCTGAGCAACTGATTTTATCCACCAATTTGCCTTTAAGTAACGCTGAACTCAATCCAGCTGAATCTGCCCTTTCTGATGCCCATCCAGGCATCATTTAGAGCGAACGTATCGAGCAAGGACTAGAACTTTTGAACTGCGGGTCACTACATCGAACAGTTGAAGTCGCCAATACGCTGTCATCCTTTTGCTGGAGATCAAGGTCACTGACGGTCACTCATAGCGAATGATGTTGCAATGAGCAGTATGTGGTCCAACCACTCTTTCGAAAGACCGAGCCGAAGACGGAACCATGATGTGGTTAGAACGAAATTAGTCTGAAGACAAGGGTTCCAGTCGAGTAATCAGACATCTGGTCTGCCTTAATTTATGCTCGTGAAAACTGATCAATATGCGTTTTCGCCAATTAGAAGTCTGAGAAACATTCTCAGGATATGCCTGAGCATAGTGCAATTCAAGAGTTCCTTCATCGACGTTCTGACGGTATTCGACGCAGTCAGCCAATCCGGTGGCACCGAGTCTCTTTGACTGCCCGCTTTGTTTGGTGTCCTAGGATTGGCGTTGCCGTCGACGGCTTGTCATCTAGCTACCATACTATAACAGGCAGCCTCCGTACACAAGCAAAAGGAATCGGAGCTCAATGATTACTCATAAAAGTTACACTGGTCGAGGTCTGACCTTTGCTCAGCACCATGTTTTCCTGGTCGGAAGGTGAATCCTTGGGGCGGAGATTTCGTCCTGTAAGTGAAGCCGATCTATGCTGAAAAGCCGAGAAGCACTGTACAGCTGTTTAATCCTTATTAGGAATCATCGGCAGTGCGCATCTCACGAAACTCCATAGGGTAGTCTCGAACCCTTGAACACTTGATCGTTCGGCCAACAGCGGATGACCAACAGGGTGATTAGCACTCACTGGCACAGAACATGGCGCCACTCATCCTTCAATCACGGGACCAACATCACGTGGTCACGTATTGACTGTCTCCACGATGGACAACTACTCAGATGGAAGTTGGACCCATCGGGTGAATTTTATGCTTCCTCTGGGCTACTTGTGCTGTTCGTTTTGGGTGAACAGATTTGGGAATTCTAATGAAGATTTCATACCGCAAGTGAAACCAGTCTATGCTAGAACAGTAACAAGAAAGAACGATAGCAGGAACGTTGACCCAATGGTGTAACGTAGGAAAGACAGATGGGGTTCGAAAAAGAACATCCTAAACCACTTTCCATCCTTTTCGCTGTCTGGTGAAACTCCAGATGAACTTTTATCATATGTTTCAATAGAAATTTAGTCGTCCAACTTGCAAAAGTTTAACACAACTGATAGTACAGTCTGACTTATTCTGATTACTAATTTTCATCTAAACACGGCAGCTACCTGTCTCCGTTGTCACGGAGACACCGCAGGGGGTAAGCACATTTGATGAAGATATCTACCAGGATATGTTTGTTCGTTTGAAGTAGATCGGAACAGCTTCGCTGAAACGGCCGCAGTTTTCGATACGCGCGACTGAACCTGCTGATTTATTGGCAGCTAAGCAGCAGGAGCAATGGTTTTTACCGTTTTTGGTTGTTTTACATTCAATTTATGATGAGCTAGACCACCTGTAATTGTGTCAGCGGGATTAGAATCAGTCATACATTGTTTAGGATACGATGGAAAAAAAACTCTTCGGACAAATATTGAGACGATAACACAAGTCCTTCGCTAGTGAAGAATTTTCCTTTCGTAAATTCAATCTTTGTTACATTCCACTTTCGATGATTGAAATGTCATCCCGCTTTCGCCCCGATTTACAGAGGAACCACTCCAAACTGAACGTGATTCGTCCAGCTAGCTAGAATAACAGAACCAAGTAGCGATCGTTCACCGATCGGATCAGTGTCATCAGAATACGTAAATGAATGAGCCTTTCCTACTGCGTGTGACCACTGCACAAACCAGTAATCCTTCCAAGACAGGCAACTACAAGGGAAGAATTAGTTGAACTTTCCCAGAGTAATCTCTTCGGAGCGCATTACATGCATGGGTTCGACTTCGAGGCGCGTAAGCCGAACAGATTTTTCACCCCAGTTCCAATCGGTATTTAAGCCAGTCTAAATTTTCTAGTTAAACAAGGTTGCTTTGAATTGCAATACGACGGAGAGGGTATGCGAAATGAATTTACCATCTCGATTGTCCATCAGACACCCAGTGGAATGTTTGTTTTTCAACAATGTGGGTAGTTTTCGTTCATTTATTCCAAACCATGATTTATATCGATACTCTTCCTTTGCGATACGCCCAGAAGAGATCAATATTCTCAATAAAGAAACCGGGCCCCGAGGTAGTTGAAAGTTCGTCGACAGTCCACGACCGGTTTCGTCCCATCAGCTAGGCGCAGTTACCGAGTTTCCGCCAATCCTACGTTCTACCTGAACACAACTTGGACAGACAGGTTTTGACGACTACCCTGATTTGCACGAAAATTTGGTTTAGACATGTTGTGTCTTGCTGAACGGTAGTTCAACTCTCTATCGGCCCCTTGGCTTCCTGCTCTGCCCACTATGGTATGTCAAGAGGCACGGTAGCTCTACACAGCTCCTTATGGGGACCAGAGGGGGCATACTTGGTGCATTGGCTATTCAGCTCCTGGCGTCCGGCACCGATAACCCTCTCACTTCAGTCCGATTCGGTTAATCCTGCAACGTTTCACCCGCGGTCCGAACCCTTCAGTT